CGTTTGATGAGGGTTGGAGCTAAACTCTGCAGAGCTGTGGCCCTCCAGGAACTGAGTTTGAGAAAACTGACTAAGACATCTAAAAATGAATATTTCTACACTGGATAACAAAATATCAAGGTTTTCATACGGGGTTTTGGTGACTTTAGTGGAAGTATGAAGTCAGTTCTGCTCAAGTTCACACAGGTAGAGAACCACATTAATTTAATTTGATCACTTGAAACTTTTGTAAACGTTTTGTGAAATATATAAATGCCACTTGATTGAAAACGGTTGACAATATTATTACAGTTCCAGAGGAACAACACGTTTAAATACAATGAAGAATGTCAAAATTATGAACACGTGACATGATCTCTCACCATCAGACATCATCAGCCACTCCATATCTCGATCATGAATGGCTTGATCTCCATCTTCACCTGGACCAAGCACACATGTTCAGTGCTGACCTGCAATCCTCTATATAAGGACTATGCGATTACTTGCAGTTGTTCACACACACCAAACAATGCTAGATGCATACATATTTAATAGAAATATTAGCTCTATAAGAGGTTGCGCAACTCTGAGAGAAAGAGAGCAGAAGTGAATCACCTTTTTCAGACAGACTGCCAGAGCTCACGTGCTCCGTCAAAACCGTGCCATACTGCTGCAACTTCTTCACTATTCTCTGGTAAATATTCACGTCTTGTCTCCCTCCGCGGATGCTTCCACAAAAATATATGTTCATACTTTGCGAATGTCTTCGTCCTCTTTGATAATAATAATACAAGAGTGGGTTTCCTCGACAGGAACTCACAGCTTTCAGCGGAAAAAGCAAGACAATCTGCAGGTCATTTCCCGCCCAAACACACGCGGAGAAACGCCACCGTGTGGCAATAACGCATTAACGTTTTCATAATTTACTCAAAATTCTTTAATTATTCGCCCTCGTAGATTTATTTATTTACTTGTTTATTTATTAAAGAATAAGAAACATGTATCAAATGGCATAAACTATAATTTGCTAAATGAAAATAAATGAGTAAATAAACAAATGCATGGCTTAATAATGTTTAAGATTTATAACTCTTTAGTTTGTCATTTCCGAATTTGCTTTAATATGCATTAAATGTAGGCTACCTAAATTATAATAAGGTTCAAAATGAAAATCATACAAACGACTTGTAAGTCCAAATGACTGACTACATATCTGCAGTTAGTTGCATTTATTTGTTTATTTATTGAAATACACGCACATAAAACAAACAGCACTGGATGGCAATAATGAGAGAGAGAGAGAGATTAAAACAACACAACTAAAGAACAAATTATTCATTAACTCCTCATACAACTGAGTAAATAAACAAATGCATGGCTTAATAATGTTTAAGATTTATAACTCTTTAGTTTGTCATTTCCGAATTTGCTTTAATATGCATTAAATGTAGGCTACCTAAATTATAATAAGGTTCAAAATGAAAATCATACAAACGACTTGTAAGTCCAAATGACTGACTACATATCTGCAGTTAGTTGCATTTATTTGTTTATTTATTGAAATACAAGCACATAAAACAAACAGCACTGGATGGCAATAATGAGAGAGAGAGAGATTAAAACAACACAACTAAAGAACAAATTATTCATTAACTCCTCATACAACTGACGGTTTTTTAATTAAAAGATTTGATATATTTTGTTTTTTCTTTTTACAGTTTATTAAAGTACATACAGTAGATGAACGAAGAAACATATCAAATATTATACAATAAAAACAACAGCAGAACAAAGTAGAATAAACACGTGGATTCACGAACACAAATAGAAGAGAAGCTGATATTAAGGTTAAACTCGTAGACTGTATAAAAACAGGTTAAACTACATAAAAAAAGAGAATACAAAAAAAAAAAAAAAATCTTAGCGACGTGTCGTGACGCAATCAATGCGCAGTTGTGCATCTGCGCAGTACCGGAAGCGAATAATAGCTCTTCAGATACAGCTGCTAAAAACATTTGGATAAAAGAGCTCCACAGAAGAAACAGGTAAGAGAAAATAATCCGAGATTATTTACAGCAGGTTTCTTTGTATGGTAAACAGTCGTATTCGTTAGTCAATACCCTGGGATTGTAAGTGTATATGAACCAACAGGATTTTAATCGCAAGCTTACTTTGACAGGTGGATGTTGACTCTATACGACATACATATAAACATGTATAAAACACATCTTTTCTAACATGTCAAGAGGCGGGCAGTGGTTTAACAGCTACCGATCCCTGTGCCGAACTGAAAGTCTCACTGTGTCTGTTAGCCGCTGGTGAATGGAAGTGGCGAGGGCCGGAGAGATGGGTCCCGAGAGAATCTTACCGAACCCCGAGGAGGATGCGCTGCAGGACCGGCCCTCAGACACCGCGGCGCCGGAGGAGTGGAGCGGAGCGGAGGAGGAGGAAGGAGGCGCCGGAGACGAGGACCAGGGCAGTGCTGGATACTATTATCAGCCTCTGAATCAAGACCCAGACGGGATGAACGGCTCACACGCAGAGCCAGCGAACGAGGGAACCACCGCAGAGCAGCTGCAGGACGTCCAGGACAGAATAGAGGTACAGGGAGGCTTGCATCTTTCCGGTTAGCCAGTGTGGTTTACCCGCTAATTACTTTAATAAATGAACTACTTTTGCAGGCCATGGGTCTGTTCCTGCCCCAGCCGCCTCCTCCTGACAGCGACGAAGAGGAGGATCCTGAAGGAGCTGCTGCCTGCAGAAGTTCTGCGTCCATTCCCATGGATGCAGGTGAGATCGCGCACACTGCTGCATTAGTTCTCTGTGTCAGTGTGAGGGACCAATATATATAGCAAACCTGCTATATAAAAAAAACTGCTTGATTGTTTTATAAGCATAACGTAAATCATACTATAACCCAGCTTTAATATGCTAAATGTGATTATAATCCATGAAGATTTTAAGATATTGTAAACATGATTTTCTGTTAAGCTGTTGTGAAAAATGATATACTTGTAAATTTGACTGGACTTGGTTGACTGATATTTTTAAATGGCCATTATAAAGAATACAACTTAATACTAGCAAATAGAAAAGTACACTAAATTGTTGAATTTAACTTTAGTAATACTAGCACTATTTATAAAAAAAAAAGAAAAGAAAAAAGCACAACCGGTGGAATAATAAAAGTACACAAAATTGTTGAATTTAACCGAGTAATATTAGTTTTTTTAAATGCGCAATTGGAATTAACAGGTGAAATGATGAAAGAACAAAAATTTTTTAGCTTGAGTAACAGTTATATTTAATACAGAAAATGTGCAGTTGGAATTTTGGAATTAACTGGTGGAATGATTAAACATGCAGTCAAAATTTAGTTTATAACTTGACAAACAGATGATTCATGTTATGGCCTTTCACGGTGTAGTATTAAAAATCTGTACTATTTTCCTTAAATCTAAAATAAAACCCTAAAATCAGTCCTTATAAAAGTTTAAGTAAGGTATCACATTATACTGCTTTTTTCCCCCCCTCTACCATAGATTATATTAAGTGTTTTTAAAGAATTGAAAGGATCGGTAGATGACCGCAAAGGTAAACTAAACACAAAAATAAGTATGCACAATAAAATACCCATTATCTTATACCAATATAGATACATTTAAAATAATAAAGCGCTAATATCAACCAACATTTACCAATTTATTGGTTGATATTAGCATTATAAAATATATGTTAGCAATTAGTGGTCAAATGATTAATCGCATTCAAAATAAAAGTTTTTGTTTACATAATATATGTGTGTGTACTGTGTATATTTATTATGTATATATAAAGAAACACATACAGCATATATTTTGAAAATATTTACATGTATTTGCATGTATACATTTATATTGATATAAAATATAAACATATTTAATATATAAATTTTTCTTTCTACATGTTATCTTAAGGGTTTTTCCCATTATTTTAATTTTAGTATAACATTATAATACCATTCACATTTTTACTTTTTTATAATTTAATTTAAAGAAGAAACCAAGCGTAATTAATAATCGCAATTACAATTTCAAGGGAATAATCGACAATTATGATTTTTGTCATAATCGTGCAGCCCTACAGTACACACACATATTATGTAAGCAAAAACTTTTTTTTGGATTAATCGTTTGACAGCACTATTAGCAATATATAATTTAGGTACCAGTATATTTCATAGTTTCTCTTGTGTTCACAGATCACGTTGAGCTGGTGAAAAGGACCATGGCGGCAGTAAATTTGCCGACACTAGGAATCCCTGCCTGGGCCCAGGAGATCTCTGACGACCAGTGGAAGGACATGGTCCAGCAGACGCTTCAGTCCAGACAAAGCTCTGCAGGCCTGAGACTGGAACGCAATTGAAACCGTTTCCAGAGCCTCATCTCACCTACTGCACATCTCACACGGCAGAAACAGAGCTTCTGACATCTCAAACAAATCAAAAGGCATTCATCACTTTAGTTGTGGTTTATACAAACTGTGGACTGAAATTCTTGAAATGCAAATCTAATAGCTTGCCTTTTAATTGCTTTGAACTGATACACAGCCAGTGTCCAGTTGATGCAGTTACAGAGTAGGCAAAAACTGTCCTAAAAACATCCCAAATGTTTTTCAACCCAGTTGTATTAATGATGCAGTGTGTTCTTTTGCTTGTTCTTTTGTAAAGTGAAGAATTTTGCTAAACTTAGTGGTTGCTTTTGTATGACAGTATAGACATGTGAAGGTGCATCTCAGTAATACTCACATCTCCATTGATCTGACTGTTGATACCTGTGCAATGAGTGACTGATCCTTTATATATATCTCACATGGCTCGAGCAACACAAATGGCCGTCACACCTTTTGTGTTTCTTTATTTTTGTTCTGTACATACATGAACATCTGTACAAAATATGACTTTCATACTATGTAATGCTCAACCTAATTAAAGTACAACATATGTACATATGACCTGGAAAGCAGCTTAAGATTAGTGTCAGACTTGGGAAGGAGGACTGGGAGAGGAGGGAAAGGGACGGGTGAGTGTGGAGAGACCCATACTTTCTTAATTTCCCTCTGTTTCTTGTTGCTGCCGGACAAGCTGAACACCGGCCCCATCCGCCTGTCAAGCTGCATTGAGAAAGGAAGCATGCTGCGTTCAAGAGTGACGTTGCCTCTGATTGTTTCTGGAATGTTTTGGTCTATTATTTAGAGGCAACAAGGTTGGCAATTCATGCTCTTGATTGCACGGACAAGTCATTCCCGTACGCTGATAGGCCGAGGTGACGTTACAACACTTCAAACAGCTAATGATTTCAAGACTTCACCTCTGCACTGCACACTAATAAGCTGTAATAGCACGAGTTGAAACGTATGTGCATGTTTGGAGCGATGGAAGAAGTGTAGCAGCTTGAATGCACAGCAAGTGGACATCATTACAGCGAGACCTTTGAGCTGCGATGACGTTTTGCATTGTCCAGCAGCCTGTAGGAGGAGTAAATGTTCCCTCACTATTGGAATGATCAAAGTGACACTTCACGGGACAGACCTTTACAACAGAGAGGGGGACATCATGCATCAGAATGGAGTCGTTCAAACAGAATGAAAGAAAAGATGAACTTGGGGCAGAAAGGGAATACTGAAGGGCGGGCAAGGGCGCAATCATAAGCAATATACATGACAATATACAGTACACAAGTATTAGCGATGGCTGTCGGTTTTCCATATATTAAGCCTGGACAGGAAAGCGAGTATCTTTTCTCTGCAAGTATATAGTCCTATCAGGAGGATTGTATAGCGCTTGATCGTACACTAGACCAGTGCATGGTCTCCATTCTGTTCTAATTCCTGAAAAAAATATTGCTTAGGCGCTTTAAAGTTAAAAAAAAAATAAAATAAATAAGATGTACGATTTCGGACAGGACAGTAGTTCCCGATCTTGAACGGTTAATTTTTTTAAAGGCTCGACGGGAGTCTGTTTTTCGTTTTTGTCTAGTTTTCATACATCACAGAAACCTATGAAGCAAAGGAGGATTGTATAGCGCTTGATCGTACACTAGACCAGTGCATGGTCTCCATTCTGTTCTAATTCCTGAAAAAAATATTGCTTAGGCGCTTTAAAGTAAAAAAAAATAAAAATAAATAAGATGTACGATTTCGGACAGGACAGTAGTTCCCGATCTTGAACGGTTAATTTTTTTTAAAGGCTCGACGGGAGTCTGTTTTTCGTTTTTGTCTAGTTTTCATACATCACAGAAACCTATGAAGCAAAAACAAGACACCGTACTGAAGCTAGGCGGTGAAAAAAGGAAGTTTCGATTTGATGGGTATATGTTAAAGAGGTATCCGTCTTAAAACGAAAAGACAAACGTAAGTGCAGAGTGGACCGATAGACCACTGGTGCATGCGTTTAGAGCACATTCTTGTCTTTTCCGCTACTACTTTTACAGCATTTTCAGCAAGCGCTCTGCTGGTGGTGTATATAGAGATGATTGCTTACACAAATCTCCCTTTTGTTCTTGTTTTTGACGATCATTAACAATCAGTGGGAAAACAGCAAACAGTTTAGGTCGAACTCTTCAGCCTCTGCCTCTTCATATGTGGCCGTGACCTCAAAAATGACTTCTTCAGATGACTACCTAAAGCATTTACAGCACCAGGCCACTATGGAGAAACCATTTCAGGTATATATCTAGGGAAGCACCTAAAATTGATTGGCAAATCTCCAATTTGCGTGTCTAATTCTTAAAGCTTCTTAGGAAGGAACAAGTTTCTCCATGTAGTTTTTTGACGTCAAGAATAGCCCTGATCGTTCATGTTTGGCTACAGACCCTACGCTGAGGGTCACCGTCTCCACTGAGGTCTTCATTTATCTTGAGTAACATGATTCATTGAGTTAAGTGTGGCCCCTTCATTGCAAACAGATTTACAGAGGCAGTGATTGGAGTACAGGAGAAGCTCTCAAGCAGTGGTAAAAACGGGATAGGGAACATGCGGACAAATGGAGACAGCATAAAGTGGGCAAAATAAAGTGGAGTGTGGAGAGAAAAACAAACCACAACAAGAGCATACTTTGATTATTTGTAACCCACACTGCTTTCTAACAGCTTCTGTTGGATGTGAGGATCAGCAGCTATGGATTTGTGAAGACTTTGGAAAGCGTTTGTGCGCACATAGGGGGTGGGACAGAGTTCATGGGAGCTCTCCAATGCTCTGCGGACTGGATTTTTGCAGACGGGGCTCTCCAAACAGTGAGGGAGGAAGAGAGTATGGATAGAGGCAGAGGAATAGAGAGGTGGGTTACAGCAGGCGACAATTTTGGACCAAGACGAGAGGGACAGTTTAGGCGCGGTGGAGGGTGGCGGTGCTCCCCGGTCAGAGGGCTTCCTGGTTGGCCGTCAGGTACTCCTCCGCTCGCTTGTGAGCTTCCAGGGCTTTTATAGTATACACGTCCTGCGGCAGCTCAGACTTTCGCCTCATCAAAACCTTATCTTTCTTGATTTCTTTCAACCCCTGTAAAAAAAAAAAAAAAAAGAGTTATATTACTGAGACAGTGCACCTTGCAGCTAAACTAGAGCCCAAAGTATACTTCAGTTTTGACATTAACACTTAGCATGCATGCTCAGCGGAACACAGCTTTTTAAGGCTTTCTATTTGACAGTGTGAAATAAAAAAAAAAACGGGTATAACTGTCAATTGCTAGAGATTTAGGATTTTCGTCCAGTTTAAACTTTCACGTGATTTCAGTCCTCGCATACTGTTTGTCAGACTTTTTTTTGTGCAAAACACATGGTCTGTCTGTCCAGTTTGGCACAGGGGAAAAAACAATTGCTAAAAAGCAATTGCTTACATCCATATACTGTACATATTATTGTTACTTTTATTGGTATTCATATCTCTATGACTTATTCAAAATTCTTTTTTCAGCTAAATTAGTAGCTCTCGTGAATGGCGGTGGAGACTGATCGGAAGAGAAGAAATTGTTGAATAAAGTAGTTATTTTTGTTTTCTTTGTGCACAAAAAGTATTCTTGTAGCTTCATAACATTACGGTTGAATCACTGATGTCAAATGGACTATTTTAATGATGTCATTACTACCTTTCTGGACTTTGTCCGTGGTAGTTCCCTTGCTGTCTATGGAGTGTCCGAAAGCTCTGGGATTTCATCAAAAATATCTTAATTTGTGTTCCAAAGATGAACGAAGGTCTTGCGGGTTTGGAACGACATGAGGGTGAGTAATTAATGACAGAATTTTCATTTTTGAGTGAACTTTCCCTGTAATACTGATTTGATGCTGTTGGACTGAAAATTAAATCTTAAATTAAAATGACCTGTAGTTTCTTTTATTTAGGCCAAACATTAACACAGATGTTTGGTTTCAGGTGGCTTATTACAGCAAAAGATATCCAACCCAAAGAACATTGTTGGCCAGGTTTTGTTTTTACACAATGTTAGTTATTAAAGCAGAATGTTTATTTGTGACCTTATTAGGTCTAGAAAAGCATGTATTGCACTAGGTAGCCTACACCAAATTTTAAGAAATGAGTTTGGCACCTATGCTGTAAAACAAACTTGCATGTTGACACTGTTCGGGCATCTTTTGTTCCTGTGAAAATCTACAAGTGTTTGATTGTACCGGTGTGGCTTCTGATTCCACAGTCTTCTTCAGCAGCTGGATGTCCTCGACTGTTGGGGTCTCTGTCTCCATTGAGTACAGGGGCATCCCTCCTTCATTATACATCATATACTGCACATACACAAACATGTCCTCAGTTCACACCTAAACATACATCTGTCACAATGTTTTGTTTATAACAACTTGCTGCATTGATAAAGAATTCAAATGATGTGTATATAAGCCATTAATATGGCTCATCCAAAAAGAAATTAGTGTGAACGTAGTGTTACGGTTTCGAGTCTTTTGTCTTTAACTTAAGTATTACATAATGTTGATCCAGATTATTCATTATGAATACTCTTTTTGTTTGCATCCATAACATCACAAATATATATCATGAGAAAAAAACATGATCAGATGAGATAAAGCACCTTTCAAAGTATCTAATTTACTGAATTATGCAAAAATAGACATAACTGTATGGTTATTAAAATATAAACCATTTATGTTGAGTTCCCAGCAAGACTGTGATATTGAATTACTCATATAGGATTTTGTTCATACTGCCCACTCTACACCTAAACAGAACTTGGTAGGAAAGATGAAAGTAACCCAAAGAGTAAGATGAATACATAACTATTATGTTTAGATAGATAAATGACTCACTTCCTCTTGAGCCAGACCGGGCCGCAGCTGAATCTTTGTACTCTGTGAAAATCCAAAACGAATAGTTGACAAACACACATTCACAGGATGCCTCATCACATCTGATTAAACTCTGGGCTCATTTTGTGTTTGCCCTCAGAGCACACTGGTGACTCAAGAGAGATGAGTTGTGGTAATTACACTCGTCAGGAGTAGTTTCTAATTACGTGAAAAAAAAAAAAAAAAGAGAAAGACAGAAAACAAGTTCCCCCTTATACTTATCAGTAATTAAGGGAACCAGGCTGTTTTAGCTACACACAATGCTTTGGGAATAAAGGAAAATATATCTATACCACTAGCAATATTTAAGCTTGTGCATCTAATAACGTTAATTTCTTTAAAGGGGTCATATGATGAATTAAAGGGTTCAATTTTGGCCAATCACAACGCATTGGATAGCTGGCCAATCACAGCTCACCTCGCTTTTTCAGACCGATGAGCTTTGTAAAAATTGACGCGTTTCAGAAAGGCGGGGCATAGAGGAGAAACAATAATGTACAGTATGTGGAAAATAATGTGTTTATTGAACCTTAAACCGCTTAAACATATTTCATTACACCAAATACACAAAATAATGTTCTTTTTAGCAACATCATATGACCCCTTTAATGATTTTAATTCATATCCATATACATGTACGACTTCAGTGATTTTGACTGTGTCCTATTGGTTTGTCTTTATATGTACACAACTGTTTATATGTACACAAAAGTTTGCGGTTAAGATTTTTAAAAATGTTTTTGAAAGGAGTCTCTTCTGCTCACCAAGGCTGCATTTGTTTGTCAAAAATACAGTAAAAATTTTAATACTGTGAAATATTATTACAATTTAAGTTACGTTTTTTTTATTTGAATATATTTTAAAATGGAATTTATTCCTGTGATGCATCACTCCAGTTTTCAGTATCACATAATCCTTCAGAAATTATTATAATATGCTAAAGTAACATTACCAATGCAGGAAACAATATATTTTTATGAAAACGGTGATAGTTTTCATTTGATGAATAGAAAGTTCAAAATAACAGCATTTATTTGAAACAGTGAAACTCTGTAACATTACAAAGTCTTTACTCTCACTTTGATTTATTCAATCGAATAAAAGTATCATTTAAAAATAAAAAAAATTTAATTTTGAACTTTTGATTGCTAGTGGGAGGGTGTTTACCTGAGGGTTCTGTTTTGCTAGCGCCTCAATTTTATGCCACATTTCTTCCCGCTCCTTTAGTTTGTACTTCTCTCTGAGAAGAACAGTAAAACAACAAAGAGTTTAGGATACATCTGAGAAAACCACTCATATGTATATGTGGATACATATGATTGCCACAACTTGCTTAGAAAATGTTCATAGAAATTTGACCAAAACAAAGACAACTGCTTATTTAGACATTATCTCGATGCGAAATAAATGACAAATTAATTTATTTATTAAATTTTCTCCTTCGCCCTCCCCCATATTCTCTCTGTTCCCCCTCATTCACTTACTTCTGCTTCTCAGCCTTGTACTGCTGAGTGCAGTCATCAAACAGCTTCTGGTTCATCTCCATAAACAGCTTCAGAGCATTGTAGATAAGCCCATGGATTGTCCTGCAGGACGAAACACAGCTCTATTAGTCCAGACATTTGAACAGAATGCTTTTCTCTTCTGGTGATTTGAATATGATCTGTCTTAATGTAAAATCAGGCTGTGACAGTTCCAGAAGTGAAGTTTGATTAACAAGTGTGGCTGTACTTGTTCCAGTGGCTCTTGGAGTTCTTGTAGAGAGCGGGAAACATGATGGGGAGGATCTTGGCGGCATTGTCACTGATCAGGCTCATAATGTACTCATTGTTCCAGTAATACAATGCTCTTTCAGCAACCTAGAACACACATGACCATTAAATTCAGTTGAAGTCAAAAGTTAGTATTGTATCATATATAGTGCAGATATTTAGGCAAAATAAGAAAAATGCACACATCTTCATTCTGTTCAAAAGTTTTTTTTGTCCTCAGTGTGAAAAGATGGATCTCAAAATCATACAGTCATTGTTGGAAAGGATTCAAATACACAAAAAAGCTGAAAAACCAAAGAATTTGTGGGACCTGAAGGATTTTTCTGAAGAACAGCAGGCAGTTTAACTGTTCAGGACAAACAAGGGACTCATGAACAACTGTCACTAAACAAAACACAAAGCTGTGGATCATTCAGGTAAGAACACAGTATTAAGAATCATTTTTATAAATTCAACTTTCATTATTTTCTCTTATGCACTATATGTAAGCATCTTTTATGTGAAATATCTTATTCAGGTCAGTACTAAATAAACAATAACATGCATTTTGTATGATCCCTCTTATTTTGTATATTCTCTTATTTGTGTGTGTGTGTGTATATGTGTGTTTGTATAAAAAGCGTCTGCTAAATGACTAAATGTAAATGTAAATGTAAATTTTGGTAAAATAATTAACATTTTGCAGATTCTGCAAGATGTATGTAAAATTTTCACTTCATTGTTACGAATGTAGGGCTGGGTATCGATTCAGATGTTCCGATTCGATTCAATTTCAAATCACAATACAAATCAGAGGTTTATTGTTAAAATTTAAAAGAAAACAGATGTGATTATTCCTTTAAAAATAAAGTTTTATTAATATTTATTAGTAGCAGTAGTAGTAGTAGCATTGTTGTTACATTGAGTCTTAAGACTGCTAAATAGTAATATTTCTGATACAGTTTCTTCACGTTAAACTAAGCTTTTATTTTGATGGGTTGCCGTGAGGAACTTGCAGCTGCTGTGTATGTGATATGACGGTAGTTTTCTCAAATTAAACGGTAAAATGCAAACAAAATGACTCTCAGAGCAGCTGGGGATGATATTCGTGTATTCATATCATCATAGTGAGACGACAGAGGCTGAAAACACCGTGAGCGTCTTCCGCGCTTTAGTAAGTGTGTAGTAAACAAAACAGTGCATCGCACCATCCGCCATTCATTCATTCATTGCGGAAATCATGGCGTCTTTACGCGTGATGTCGAATGCTTCCAAAGATTTGTAGTATTACTATAGAATTTTACCTGAGCATTGCAAATCACGCATGCTTTGTTCTTGGTTCTTGTCAACAGTATCTCCGCCATGATAAGCACTGAATGAATGGCAGGCTTTCTGTTGTAACATTGCGCAAGGTAAATAAGAGGGTGACATCTAGTGGAGAACACTAATGATAAGATTCACTTTAGTCAGATCTTGTTTTAAATGTCTGCTGAAATAAATACCGGAAAAGATCGATTCGCGGCTTTTGAAAATCGATATCGAATCGACGTCATTTAAAAAACCGATTAATCGAAAAATCTTTTTTTTTTTTGCCCAGCCCTATACGAATGCATGTGCTAGTATTAAAAAGCTTGTCTTTTAATCTGTCAACGGTAAGATAAGTCTCTCAATGTTCAAGGAGTTTGAAAAGTACTATTGTGCTGTAATACCTGGAAGTGCGGACTTGATACACACTTGGCCAGCTGTCTAAAGAGAGGCTCCATGACTTTAACAAATTCTGAGGGCTCAATGACATCCAAGATTTCCTCCAGCTCATTCAGAAACATCACCTCCTTAGGACTGTGGGTCTTGGGCCAGAACTTTAGCAGGCCCATAATCACCTGATGCAGAAGGTGACAAAAAGCTGTGAGAAAGCCATCTTCGCTCTCTCAAGTTTACCATGAAAAGAGAATTCAAACACAAAAGCTTGAAAGAAAATGTTATTAATAATGACAGGAAACAGCAAAGGTGCAGTTGTGCCAAGGTAGGGCTGGACGATATGGCCAAAATTGATATCACGATATATTTCTTAATTTCGGTCGATACAATATAATTCCAATATCGATATGAACACTATTTATCTGAAATAGAAATCTTTTGTAACATTATAAATGCCTTTATCATCACTTTTGATCAATTTTAAGCATCCTTGCTAAATAAAAGTATTAATTTCTATAATTTCTTTCCCAAAAAAATAATAAAAATTATACTGAATGGAATAGTGTATAATGTTACAAAAGCTTTTTATTTCAGATAAATGCTAATCTTTGGATCGTTCTATTCATCAAATAATCCGGAAAAAAAAATGTACTCAACTGTTTTAAATACTGATAATCAGCAAATCAGCATATTAGAATGATTAGAAGGATCATGTGACACTGAAGACTGGAGTAATGATGCTGAAAATTTACCTATGTATGACCACAGGAATAAATTACATTTTAAAATATTTTCAAATAGAAAGTAGTTATTTTAAATAGTTAAAATATTTCAAAATTTTACTGTTTTTGCTGTACTTTGGATCAAATAAATGCAGCCTTGGTGAGCAGAAGAGAATTCTTAAAAAAAAAAAAACCTTAAAAATCTTACTGTTCAAAAACTTTTGACTGGTAGTGTAGGCTGATTATTCTTATAGATTGAAACAAATGTGCTTCAGCCAGAAAAAAAGGGTATGAAAAGTGCTCCGAGTCGCTGCAGAAAACAAAAAAATTGAACAACAAAAACTGGAAATGTTGCTGGAGACGGGCTTATTTAAAATGAAAACTCATGCTCTGCTAGCAGGAGGCGCTTTTAGAGTGATAGAACTAGCGGTTTCTCCAGTAATGGCTGTAATCAAAGCAGCTCCGCTCATGAACGCTTCTTTATCAGATCAAATGAAAATGCCATCGAAACTTTTCTGAAGACAGTCGGTTCCCTTCACAGATACATTTATATAAAACACCCGCGACATTTTTTGATTTTGAAACGTGCAGTGCTCATGTTTATTCAACGAAGTCAAACAGCACAAATAAATCAATGTATGGGAAACACTGGTAATGTATATCGAAATATCGGAAATGTGTTTACAAATCATATCACCGTTATTGAAAAAAATTATATCGCGATACATATTGATATTGAATTATTGTCCAGCCCTATGCCAAGGCTGTAAATCTTACAGGTTCAGTGAGGCTGCTGTCCTTTTCCAAAAACTGCACCACACAGTAGGCCAGCTGAAAGCACAGGAAATTATTTTAAATTACAAAGAACACAATATGATGACTAACATTGAGCCACTGCTATTCTTCAGTCTATTAATACATTGTGCATAACGTCATAACCTAAGACTTGATCATAAAGTACAGACTATGAATACAGAGGAAGAGGTGGGCGATATGCCAGCAAAAATGTATTCTTTCTAATGCAGTTATGCAAACTTCATGGGTGTTTTGACCACTTTGAAATATCACTGTCAATGAGCAAATGTGAAAGTGCATCTTCGTGGTCTGAAACTGAGCCATAACTAGTTACCACTGCTAATGCTGTAAAACTTTACTTGTGCTTGCTCTGACACTTTAAAACATGAAGAGAGAAATTATAGAACATATTACCTCAAATCAAATAAAATCTGGAATAACCATTCCAGAAGAGCCAAAAAGGTCTCTAATATGCTGTAGCTTTAAAAAGAGAGAAGCTAAAATTTTTGGTTCAGATTTTTTTTTTTTTTTAATGCGAGAAAATAAAAGTTGTATTTTGATCACAAAAGCATAAGTTCTCTTCAGCCGCAGTCATGCTAATATTCAGCATAATTGTGAGTTTGTATATTTTTCTCCCACAAAAACAGCCCCAAAAGAAGCTAAATAGACAAGCGGAACAATAATAACAGTGAAACGTCCCAGTGGTGTTGCACTCAATGATTAGCTCTTTTGGAACCCCACTCAAGCCAATTACATTTCAGAACTATCTGTGGTTTAATGCAATTATTGAATGTTCTGAGAATACTGTGGCTTCCACAGCTCATAATCACAAACCCCTACAAAAAGCATTTCTACATTAAAGTCCTCAACAAAAGAGTGTTCTCCTTAAGCGTACCTGTGGGTGATAGACGCTGAGAGACTTGACTTTGTGTAAAGGCAGTAGCACTCTGATGAGGAACATTTTGTGCTCCTCTTTCAGTGGCAGGGCAAAGCCATTAATTATGCTGTGGGAAGAACGAGACCAGTCATGTGACAGACAGGTTCTTTCAGTTCAGCAATAAGAGAAAGACTTCCTCTCAGGTTTGTCATGGCAACACTGATAGTGGTTTAACAACGTCGTTTGCACTGCGCTCTTGCGTTACTTGATCTTTTTATTTTGGTGCGTCAATCTGTTGAGTTACTTAGTATAGGAAATTATGATCCGCACTCACGAGAACAATCTTCTTTTTTCTTTTATTTTACATTCATTACATATATATATGTAAATTGTCCAGGGTTTAAGTGGAAATGATTTAATGATTGTGGTAATTGAACACTGGCTAATTAATGTTGACGTCAATATAATTAGTGATTTGAAAAGTGGGTGGAGGGATTGAATTGCTTTACACACTGAGGAAGGCTTTGAGCCGAAACATTTGTGTCTTTTCCCATCAGTAATGAATGTAAAATAAAAGAAAAAAGAAGATTGTTCTCGTGAGTGCGGATCATAATTTCCAACACTGATAGTGGTCACACTCACCTTCCTAAGATTTCTAAGAGCTCCGCAATCCCATTGTGATGCTCCGTCTCGTATATAAACCTGCAGTGTGAGATCAAGGACATCGACTCAATGGATGACTTCTGGAGGAGCTACCCGTCTCACCTTTTCTCACGAATGCCAAACTCGGCTGATTCAAAGACAGACTTGCTTCTAAGAGCTCACAGTTTCTGTCTACCATTACAACAGAGTTTATGAATGAGAACATTTTTAGAGCAAAAAGCAGAGGTGGATTAGTTCGACGGAGCTCTTGCCTGTAGAATATATTGTTGATCTGCCGGCGAACGTAGGCTCTCAGCCCGAGGAACTTTCCGTAGATGCGATGCAGGATGGTTTTCAGGAAGTCCCGCTCTCGGGGGTCTTCACTGTCGAAAAGCTCCAGAAGCTGAAGAGGAATAAGATGACCTGAAGTCATGTGTTTACATGCATCTAAATTATTTGTTACTAATCTGATAGATGGCTCAATCAGACTGAAAGCCTTAAAGGGGTCATATGATGCGATTTAAATTTTTCCTTTCTCTTTGGAGTGTTACAAGCTCTTGGTGCATAAAGAAGATCTGTAAAGTTGCAAAGACTAAAGTCTCAAATCCAAAGAGATATTCTTTATAAAAGTTAAGAGTCAGCCACGCCCCCCTAAAACGGCTCGTTCTAACACGCCCCCACATACCTACATCACTATGTGGGAAGATTTGCATAACGCAGCCCAAATGTTCACGCAAAGAAAGAAGACGTAACTTTTATTCTCGCTGTAGTATTGTAGTTGTTGCCGCCGCTGCCATGTCGTGAAGGCGCTGTGTGTTTCCTTG